AAAATAATATAAAAATTGGATTTTCTAGTTTTTTGCCGAAAACTGGCCTATTGTTTATACTTTTTTGTAGCACTTGAGGTCTGCTATTAGCCTTTTAAATATTTCCTTCTACTTACGGAACACCCTGTATATCGCCAACTATTGGGATATCCCATTGAGGTAATTTATCTATTTGTTTATCTGGTCAAGTACTAAATAAACTTATAAATATGGTAGAGGAGAATTTATGAGTAAAAATTTAACCCTTTGCACTCGATTGTCCCCTCTGAGGGGACATAGAAGTTTATTAGTTATTAAGAAGAATGAACTTATATCGCCACAATTGTTTAAGAAACGCACGTTTTTCTGTAGTTCCCTATTAAAATGGCACAAAAGCAGATCAAAGTATGATGAAAATATCCAGGATTCGTGATAAATAAATCAACCGGTTTTACGCTGAAAGGACTTCCGTGCACTTCTATAACCTGTGGCGCGTGGGTAAACATGATAACAATAACAATAAACGTTAATATAGTTCTGTGCCATACGTTATATACTAAAGAAAATAAAAAATATGAAAGCACAATATAGAAAATTAATAATAATTCATGGTCGAGAATTGCAATGTGACAGGGAAAAAACGGCATGTGTCAAAAACACGTTTAAAAATAAATTAAGATTTAATAATTCCATACTGAATTCTGTATAATATTCTATCCCGTTTTATGCACACGTATTAAAAAAATATATATATTATTTTGCTCGCGGAAAATCTAACATTGACATTTTCTGAAATTTACATTATTAAAATAAAAAAATAGTTTACTTTTTCAGTTGAATTTCTGTTTCAACCCACCCATCACACCCAATCAACTGATACTTGGCTAGATTTATTTATTATTGATTCCCCACATAACCTATTATCCTCTACGCAAATTCCAGTTCCCTTCCTTTCATCCCACGATCTTATTGAAATAACATACAACTTCACTACTCCTTCACCTAAACCCAAACAAATTTCCTGGAGAGATCTAGATTCCTTAACCACTGAAAACATCAGCCCCTTCCTCGATTCTCTTTCTACTTGCTTAGAACCCATCTATTCTCTCTCCTCCATCGATGATATGGTTGAATGCCTTTCCTCCAACCTCCTCGATTTCCTCAATCGTCACGCACCTCTAAAAACGTCCTCCCGCTCCTTGGATCAATACAGAAATAAGAGAACTAATGAGAAGAGAAACTGCTAGAAGACGATACAGACGTACTAGACTAACTCAGCATTATTCCACATTTAAATCAATACGAAATCTCACACAAACGACCCTACGTCGCGCCAATCCTAATACTTCAATAACGTTTTATCCCAAGAACCTAACCCTAAATTCAAATGGAAAATCCTTAAGAACCTCTCTGTTGTTATCTCGAAAATCTGCACACAGTATCCAATCGATCCCAACACGCTAAATTCTTTTTTCACTAACCATTTTCTATCCACATCTCCATCTGACCGCTCATCTTTTTCCATTATCAAAACTCCCTTTGATCCTAATAAGTTTTACTTTCTTGACCTTCTCCTACTGACCTGCTCTCTGCCACACTTAAATCCAAAACGAACGATTATGGTCCTGACCAAATACCTGTCAAAGTTATCAAACTCTGCCTTCCAGCTTTACTACCCGCACTCCTACACATACATAATTTCTCTCTCCAAAATTCCATTTTTCCCAAATCCTGCAAATAGTCCGTCCACCGAACAAAGTTCCAACTCCTTCATCAGCTTCCGACTTCAGACCCATCTCCATTCTATCCAATCTATCCAAGCCTCTAGAAAGATTAGTTCACTCTCAGTTGAACAGCTTTCTCGAGCAAAACCATCCCCTCAATCCCTTACAATCTGGTTTCCGTTCTCAGTATTCCACCCAGTCTGCCTTGCTAAGGATTACGCAAGATCTCCAATCCGCCATAGATAAACAGAAAATCTCCATTCTAATTCTCTTTGACTTTTCCAAAGCGTTTGATTCCGTTAATCATGAGATCCTTCTTTCTAAACTACAAAGCCTGCCCATGTCAAATAGCGTCCTAAAATGGTTCCTATCTTTCTTATCCAATCGATCTCAGACAGTTACAATACCGAATAAACCTCCATCATCATCACTGCAATTAACGCGAGGTGTTCCTCAGGGTTCCTCACTCTCCCCGACCCTTTTCTCCATCTATATTAATGACCTTCCTAACACAATTCAACACTCCAATTACCACCTATATGCCGATGATTTCCAAATATACCAATCATTCCAACCTTCTGAGATGCCTGAGGCTGCCCGGAGACTACAAGAGGACATCGACTGCATCAACAGATGGGCAGAAATAAATGAATTAAAGCTGAATGCAGATAAAACCAAGGCTATTATAATCAGGTCCAGACATCTCATCAGCTCCCTTCCTTACTTTCCTCTACTTTATCTCAATAACCACCCCATCCATTTTTTCCCTACAGTCAAAAACCTAGGAGTAACCTTTGACCAGAACCTCTCCTGGGATAATCATATCTCCCAGATTACCCGAAAATCCATAACTGCCCTTAAACAACTCCTAAGATTCCGTGATTGTATTCCTCTAAAAACCAGACAGCTCCTTGTAACCTCCCTTGTATTCCCCCACTTCGACTACTGCTGCTTGGTGTATGGAGGGCTATATGCCAGGCTGGAAATGAGACTAAAAAGACTCATGAATTGTTTCATAAGATACATTTTCGGGATCCCCAGGCGTTCACATGTTTTACTATGGTACACCGAGTTGAAGTGGCTTTTTCCTACTTCACGACGACAATTCCTTCTTGGCGTTTTCCTTTTCCAAGTCTTTAGAACCAAAAACCCTCCCTACATCTTGGAACTCCTTACTCTGCGCTCCTCTATCCACTCTCTCAATACTAGGTCTCAACCTATAGACTTATATATTCCCTCCCATAAAACTTCCTCCTTAAGCAAATCCTTCGTCATTCGTGCTGCTTCCTTATGGAACTCACTTCCTACCTCCATGCGTCAATCCTCATCCACAAATTCCTTCAAACAACTACTGTTCCAACACCTACTCCACATTCAAACTTCCCCTAACATGTAAAATTACTTGAATCTATACAATGTTTAATTTCAATCCATTGCACAATTGAAATAACAATTAACAATAAATTAGTGTGTATTTTAACTATGTCAGACTAAGATACATAAATTTGTAACTCTGTTATTATTCTTAGGGGACAGTAGTCCCAGAATAAAATTATTTTTTCATTTCATTCATTGAATAAACCAAATTTGAAATAAATCAAATTTATCAAGATTAAAAAAAACATAAGTTATATCTTATTTGACGTATATTTGTAAATATATATAAATAATGTATTTATAAGTTAAAACAAGAATTTCTAATGCTCGAAAAAAAGTTATTGAATTTTATAATAAGATATATCAAATAGCGTCATTTATTTACAACATAAACAATATAAGTTCCATTATACTCCACAGCGTAAAGAGTAGTCCTATATTTTTACGTAAAATAACGCCATCAGAAACGTTATTGATATTTTTCTAAATGGTGTATTTTGAATAAGAAGATCCTTCTCTAAATATACATGAGATGTGAACTTCATTGAATTATGCGGAACCTAAGTAGTATGGGGGAGGAAAAAACCGCTGTTTTCCATTATTCTGAATAATTCTTCTATAATAATAAAAGGAATCGGCAAAGAGGGAAATTCGATACACTGAGGATATTGAATTTCCCGCCTCTTAAGGAGGTTTATTATTCATAACAACGAACTTATCATTTAAGGCAAATATGTTTCTAGGGGTTATTTTCTTCTTGAAGAAAATCCCCTTCCTACAATTTCGAGGTAAGAGATGGGCTCAGGCTAGGTGATCATTTATCCCCCCTACTCCGTTTCCCATACGTTTCCTGGTGGCACTATTTATAATAGGATGACACAGCATCATCTAGCTTATGCTGATGATGTCTTAATAACGGCAAAAAATAAAACAACATTAGCAGGGGCACTCGAACAATTTGAAACAGCAGCTAAAAAGCTAGGGCTTCAAATAAATGAGAAGACTGTTTACATGTGAACTTCAAGAACGCTGAGAGGAATGTGTCACATTAGGTAATCACAACCTGAAAGCGGTAGAAACCATTAAGTATTAGGTATTCTAATTACAGATAGTAATGATATGATGGAAGAACTGTAAGCAAGAACGGCTGCTGCCAAATAATAAATAAATAAATGTGGTGCAGGTACACCGAAAGCGTCTCTGGGTATAAGATGTAAAATAATATAAATTACAGAGAGACTGTTATTGGTAAAAAAAAAATATATATATATAATAAATGATTAAAAAATAAAGTCCTTTTTTTTAGCTTTTTGGATAATTACAATAAATGAATAAAATTCACAATATAAAATGAAATCAATAAAAATTCAGATTTTTAGACATAAAAATTAGCAAGAGACAACGGAAAACTGATTACAGAATGGATTAAGAAAGAAAAGGCTAGTGATTCGCTAAATTACTGCTCAAATCACCCATATCACATGAAAATGAATTTTAATAATAATTGCTTAAATAAGGCTATACAAATTTAAAACTGTTAAATAAAAATTACTAAAAGTTTGAAAACACTTCTTTTTTTTTAACCATCCAGACAATTAATAATTCTTGAATAAATTAATAATGAAATTGTGTTTATTCCTTACCTATCATATATATTTTTTTAAATTGGGCGCTTAATAGTTGACCGTGGTATATTATTGAATAAGGAGATGGTCCGGGGTGGCGGTCATACAAGAAAACAATTTTATGACTGCCGCCCTGGACCATCTCCTTACTAATTTTTTTAAAAATGTGCGTATATTTCTCACAAGTTAGAAATAATACAAATTGCTAGTTCACACACACAAAATAAACAATTTAAAAACATATATTTCATACGTTAAAAAAAAAATAACAGAAGAGAGATTGAGAAAAACTTACTGCTTCCAAGATCTACAAGAAATGCTCTTTGAAGATGTTTATGGTAGACAAATGCAGCATGAACTCTGGAGCAAGACTGATGATCGATGCATATATCATTCATCTGGGGGTTTCTTCCAAATAGGTAGCACTTTTTTTCATCGAGCATAAGCTTCTGTTTTTCAAAGAATATTATGAATTAAACATTAATAAAGAATTTTGGTTTATTTATTTACATTGAAATTTATGATATTATTATATTACACAGTCTAAAAATTGAAATTGACATGAATGATTCAAATAAGTGAAGAAACCGAAGTAAGATATCAGAGTACTCTAGCACCAAAAAAACTTTATGTTAATGCTATTTACGTAACATATAATTTATATGATGCATAATAATATAATATACCGGGTGTCCCATTAGTAACCTGTAAATCAAGTTGGGGAAATGGGGGGAGGAGGGTTGATGGCAATGATCAAAATTAAAAAAAAAATAATAATAATTTCATATTTGTTTATGTTTCAAGGTTCATATTTGTTTGTTGGGGTTTTAAGGCGTAAAACATCAGGATCATCAACTCCTGCAAATTAATTTTGTTTATCTCTGGATTAAATTTTTAAGAGATTTTATATTCTTTCCAACAAATCGTTTGACTTCAAGAAACCTAATACTAACTTTATTGTGTCTTCGTCACCCCTCAAAATGCTTGCAATTGGAGATGTAATTTCTGAACTAGTTAGACCCAATGCGTAATAAGGACACTCCTTTAAAATGTGGCTGACTGTAAATGTATTACTGCAGTGTTGGCATTGTGGTGGTGGCTGTTGGCTAATAAGATGTGAATGGGTAATTCTCAGGGATTGGTGTGGCCAATTCTCAGTCTGGTTAAGACAATCTTTTCACTGCGGATATAACGATTTGATTGTGACCATTGCACTATTTATTTTTTAATATCCTTTAATTTACTTGGCAGATTCTCATTCCACATAGATTGCCAGCAACCCGGCCTGGAAGGGTAAGTGCTTGTTTCGCTGCCATATTCGCGACCCCCATTTCCAACGATTTCCACGTAGTTCGGCACCCAAATAAAGTATACCGATTTTCCTTGAGTTTTTAGCATATTTAAATATTTATGAATTGTTAAGATGCTGGGATAGATTATTCATCCCTTTTAGAGAGTCAGTTATTGTTGTTTTGGGGGGTTATTGTCATAGAAAAGTGGAGGGCTGAGGCTATTGCATGAAATTCGGCAGTATATGTACTGCACTGATTATGGAGTTTTATTTTTGGGTCGAACTATGGGTGACAAAACAAAACACGCTGTGGATTTGTCCGATTTAGATTCATGAGTATACATTAAATATGGTTCTGATATTTTTGAGGGGTATGTGAGAATTTGGTTTTGTACTCAGTAGAAGTTTTAGTTTTTTGTAACCGAGTTAGGTTTAGGATCATTTTAGGCGGTTTGTTAATCCAAAGAGGGTTATGCATTTTTTGTTTGATTAAAGGTATTACTTTGAGGAATGCAGTAGCTGAACTAATTCTCTCTGATAACGGAAGCGTTGATTTCGTTGTTTTTTTTCAAAAGGTTTGGAAAATTATGGTTTGAATATGTATCTATATGTTGGCTGGTTTTGCTGAGGAAGAATTTTAGTTATGTAATTTACAGCTAGTTTTTTCTTCTAAATAAAAGAGGAGGAACTCCAGCTTCAGATCACAAACTGATAACGGGGCAGGTTCGAAATACGCCAGTTGCTATGCGAATACCGGTATGTACAACACCCAGTTTACTTAAGACACGGTAACGAGCCGAACCGGATACGAAGCACCCATAATCTAGAACAAATTAAAACGCAATAAAGTTTTAGTAAGATGGATCTGTCAGAAACCCAGAAGATGCCACGGAGATATTTACGGTAGATTTCAATGTTAAAATGTGCGTTCCCATGTTAGTTTTCGATCGAATGCCATACCCAAAATAGGATGTTTTTCTGTATATGGAATTCTCTTTCTACTGAAATAAAGGCATTTAGTTTTTTCTGCGAGCATTGAAAACCAGTAGATAGGGACCAGTTATTGATTCTATTATGGAATCCTGTAGTTTATGTTTTATGGTGGCAATAGGGTTGGATGAAACCTTGAGGGACTCCGCTGATCTTTTCATGTTCTTCAGATAATTGGAAACCTATCCTAACCCTAAAGTGTCGATTTGAGAGAAACTGGCTGACGAACGGAACATTTGTCCTCTAATTCCTATGGACGATGACTTATTTAGGATATTTATGCTATCTGAAACCTTTTTCATATAGAAAAATACCGCCATCAGTTGTTGGGAGTTGATAAAGGCAAACTGGGTTTCGGCCTCTAATGCAACCAAATGATCAATTGTGCATCGCACCTTGCGCAATTTAGATTGAAATGGCTGAAGTAAGTTATTTCTCTCTATAATTCACACCAATCTTTTATTGACCATACGTTCCATAACTTTGCTTAGACAAATGCAAGGGATATAGGACGATAACTGTTTGGGAACCATTTGTCAGAATAGGGATTATCACCGAGTCGCGCCAGGTGGTTGGGAAGTGTCTAGTAGACCAGATATGATTGTAATAGTCTAATATAAATTTTAAAGGGTCAATATGTAAGTTTTTAATCATTTCATAATGAATTTTGTCAGGACCAGGTGTTATTGTCCCTTTAAAGTATTTAGAGAGGCTTTTAATTTCCAAACTGTAAAAAGATTGGTTATAAAATGGAGTCTCATAATCGGGATCGATACTATTTATTCAAGGGTTATAAATTTCATTTAAAAAATCGGCAAAGGTTTATGTTAGAAACCAACAAGGGATTGTCTGCTAATAAAATTTTCTATAATTCTACCTCATATCTTAATACTTTGGGATCCCCATAAAGAATTGTTTCCGTTTAGGTCCCTAACAAAAAGAACAGGACGAGGCAGTTAGTTATAAATGTCTAGGAGGTGCTGGTTATCTATTCTACAATCTTGTGGCAGGTATATTTTGCAAATTGAGAATGTGAAATCTCGGTGGATTCGGACTGCAACGGTTTAAAGGTGGGAGTTGATTGCAATTGGTTCGGAATATATAGATTTGTGCATAGCTATTAAGACTCCGCGGTGATCATGAATTATATTAGCGCTATATTTCCTATAACTTTCGAATTTTTTTAATAAAAAGTTTTCTTTTGTTGTAAGATGCGTCTCCTGAAGAGCCAGACAAAATGGGTCTATGTTACATAATAGTACTTTTAAATCGCTAAAATGGATCTTTAAACCATTCCAATTTCATTAGAAAAATAAATTTAATAAAAATTGAAAAATATATAACAGCAGGCAATTAAACATATTTGAAATAAAATAATAACTTATACTATAGGTTTGTTTTTTGTTCTGCCACTTAGAATTTACCCTGAATTTGGAATCCCTCATCATCTATTTCATTATTGACGAACAGATCAGATGGAGGGGGTTCAGGAGTATGTGGTGCGGGAGTGGAAGAAGAGGAAGAAGGATGGGGTGGCGAGAGGGAAGTGGGGTAGAAGGTGGTAGTGTTATTGTTATTTTGCTTCTATTTATTTTATATGTTTTGTACATATATTGTTAATGTTATCGTACCTCACTATAATGAATGTCCATATGACAGATAGTTGTAATACTCAATAAATAAATAAAAATAAAAAAAAATTCGTATATTTTCATATATTAGAAATCAAAACAAAGTATTACTCCTTTACCATAGTAGAGAGTATTAGTGGAGTTGACTGTACTGGATAGCCGTAACATATTATAGTTTGTTTATTTGGTGCCCGCTTATTGTTTCTATTAATACAGAACCGTCTCTTTTTTTACATTGTTTCGTTTCCCACTAAACCTATTATATGAGAAGGAGTTGATCGGGGGGTGCGGTCAAATTAATAATAAATTAAACAAGTAGAACCATCTAATTTTCGCCATTTAATTTTATAGGCAAAAATTAAATGGTTCTACTTGTTTAATTTATTATTAATTTGACCGCACCCCCCGATCAACTCCTTCTTATATTATATCAACGGTCAACCATCTCTACATCATTATAAACCTGTTATAGTTTTATGTATAAAAAATGGAGAGATTTTTTTAAGGCATATGCATTACTTCTTTTGGCTACTAAATACGTAATATATTTTCCATTTTTTTTTTTAGGTATAATTTTATTGGGGGGAAATTTAATTCGACCACAAGCCCATTTTATTCATTTTTTGATAAGGGATCAGAGAGGTCGGAATGTTCCGAGAACTTACCCAAATTTCAATTAAAATACATAAAAACAAAGTATAATAAATTCCAGAGAGAAAAAAAACGTAATAAATTAAAATACAAACAAATAAATGTAATATATAATAAAAGAAAAATTTTATTTATTAAACCAAGCGGAGTACGTATCTCTGCGACTGTCCCTGTCTAAGTCTTAAGAGCAACTGATGGTAACATTTATTGTTCATTCAATAATAATCAAAGAAGACATTATAAACTAAACAATTACAATTGTTTGTAGGTATTTCAATACCTTCTACTCTTTTGTATTCCAGATATTAGTTTTTCTAAAATCTTTAGTTTCCCATCGATATATTATACATTTATGGCACTACTAATAGAGAATCCTCTCCTATGAATCTCTTCAACCTGACCTCGACTCCTTCCAATGGGATATCATATATTCTTATAACTCCATCGAACCTATGGTATCTACCCTTAACTCAAACCTAAAATCCATATTAAACACCCATGCTTCTCTGAAAACCAAAATCTTACGCCGCCCCATTGCTCCTTGGCTGACTCCTAAAATAAACAAAATGATGAAAAGAAGGGATGCAGTAAGGCACTAATACCGTCGAACCCGCCTGCCTGTTGATTATGCGTTTTTCAAAGAACTTCACTAAATATAACTTTCACGAACTTCACTAAATATAAATATAACTTTATATTTCTTTTTTATGTTTTTACATTTTATTCTAAGATTCCCAATGTAACACTTTTGTCACCCCCTTTTTGATTATGCCTACTTCATCATTCCACACTATGTAACAGTCTGTATTATTTATCTCTTAGTTCTTAGTCATTATTCTAACAATTTTATTTTACTTTATATCTATCTATTTTATTTTTCTTTTAT